CCTCGCCCGCCCGCCCGCAGCCCCCGCGCCGAGGCCGCCGCGGCAATGGCCTCGGGCGACACCCTCTACATCGCCACGGACGGCTCGGAGATGCCGGCCGAGATCGTGGAGCTGCACGAGATCGAGGTGGAGACCATCCCGGTGGAGACCATCGAGACCACGGTGGTGGGCGAGGAGGAGGAGGAGGACGACGACGACGAGGACGGCGGCGGCGGCGACCACGGTGGCGGGGGCGGCCACGGGCACGCCGGCCACCACCACCACCACCACCACCACCCGCCCATGATCGCGCTGCAGCCGCTGGTCACCGACGACCCGAGCCAGGTGCACCACCACCAGGAGGTGATCCTGGTGCAGACGCGCGAGGAGGTGGTGGGTGGCGACGACTCGGACGGGCTGCGCGCCGAGGACGGCTTCGAGGACCAGATTCTCATCCCCGTACCCGCGCCCGCCGGCGGCGACGACGACTACATCGAGCAGACGCTGGTCACTGTGGCGGCGGCCGGCAAGAGCGGCGGCGGCGGCGGCTCGTCGTCGGGCGGCGGCCGCGTCAAGAAGGGCGGCGGCAAGAAGGGCGGCAAGAAGGGCTACCTGGGCGGCGGGGCCGGCGCGGCGGGCGGCGGCGGCGCCGACCCGGGCGGCAAGAAGTGGGAGCAGAAGCAGGTGCAGATCAAGACCCTGGAGGGCGAGTTTTCGGTCACCATGTGGTCGTCAGGTGAGTTACGGCCGCGCGCCGCGGCCCGGGATGTTTTTGTTTTGAAGGGAAGCCATGTTTTATGTGTGCGCTGGGCGCCGCCATCTTCTCCGCCCGGGCCAGTATGGCGGCCCCAAGATGGCGGCGACGGGGGCGGCGGGCCCAAGATGGCGGCGGGCGGGGGAGGGGCGCGCCAGGCCGCAATGGCGTAGTTGGCGCGGGGGCCGCGCGGCGCGGCGGCCCGGAGGGTGGGGAGGGCCGGCGCACGGCCCCAGGAGCCCTCTCCGGACGCGCCGCCTCCGCCCTCCCAGCGGCCCCACGCCCGGCTCTCGGGGCGGGCGGGACGCGGCGGGCGTTGGCGGGCCTCGCGCTGGGACGCGGCCGCGGCCCGCACTCTTTCTCTACCGGCCTCTGGGGGCGCCGCGCCCGGCCCTGCGACTCCGGACGCGCCGAGGCCAGGGCCTGCGGAGGGGCGGCGCGGTTTTGGGCCGGGCGGACCCTGCCGTGTCAGTGCCTCGGTCCCTGCGAACGCTGCGCTCGGGGGGCGGGTGGCGGGCGGCGGCCCCGCCCTGGCGAAGCGCTCTCGCTTTGCTTCCCGTGGAAAGGCCTTTAGAAAGCTGCGTTTCGTGTTCCTGCACGGCTTTGCACCGGCGGCCGGTTGTGCCTGCGTGTGGAATCTTTGTTTTCGCTTTGCGCTCCCGAGAGACGGTGTCGCCTAGTGAGCGGGGCTTGCTGCTTAGCCAGAGGGCCGCGTCCTAACCCCGGCCGTGACCTTCCTTCGCTACGTAGCCCAGCACCGGGCGTGTTCGGTTTGATGCCGAGGTTGGGACCCCAATCTTATAATTTGAAACGACTTCCTAAATGCTTAGAATTGAGGGCCGAGGATTTAGCTCAGTGGTTCCGCCGCCTGCCTTGCAATCGCAAGGACCCGAGTTCGAGCCCCTGTACCAAAAGTAAATAAATAAATAAAATAAAAAATAAATTCTTAGAATTGGACAGGGCCCTAAAGTATCGTGATCTTTGTTAAAAGATTGTTAGGCGGGGCGTAGTATCCAGGGTTGTGATCCTAGCTGCTAGGCGGCAGAGGCAGGTGAATGGCATGTTCGAGGCCAGCCTGGACATGGAGTTTGCTCAAGATACCATTTGAATTTAGATCCTTAGGCAAAAGTGTGTTAACCACATGACTTTTTTTTTTGGTACCGGGGATCGAACTCGGGTCCTTGAGCTTGCGGAGCAGGCGACAAAACCACTGAGCTAAATCCCCGCCCCAACCACATGACTCTTAAGTTTTATCTCGTGGTGTGGTCGCGTTGGATTTCCAGTATATTTTTTATGTTCTGCATGTAATGTTACCAGATTGTTGACCCACTTTTCCAGACCCAGAAACTTGGTAGTGTATGACGCTGCCTCATGAAGTGTGGTCTGTCACGTTAGGTAGAGGAGAAAGTCTGAGGGGCCTAACTCGTGTAGGTTAATTTACACTGAAGTCAGCATTTAGTAAAAGTGGCTGCTTACAAAGATGTACAGTCTGGGGGGTTTTTTTGTATCCGGGATCGAACTCAGGTCCTTGCACTTGCGCAGCAGGAGGCAAAACCACTGAGCTAAATCCCTGGCCCCTGGGGTTTTTTTTTTACTTGTTTGAGACAGGGTCTCTGTACATAACTTAAGCTGGCCTTGAACTCACTATGTAACCCAGGTTGGTTTAGAACTCAGGGTGATTCTCCTGCTTCAGCTCCCCTAGTGCTGGGATTTGCAGGAAGCTGCTTGGGGTTATTTTAACCTACATTTAGGTGAGGGTAACATAGGATGGCCTCTTTCCTCAGATGTGTTTTGTGATACATTATCCCTTTGTCCTTGTGGATTAGAATTTATTACCAAAGATAAGCTCACTATTTTGTGGTCAGCTGTGCTTGGGTCAAGTTCGAGTTCTGAGAAGTTTCCTATCTCAGAACTGAAATGGGGTGATACAGTGGTAGGTGAAAACACCAAAGCTGACTCTTAACGCTAGACTTTTTGTGGGTTTGTGTTGATATGGTAGGCACTGTGTTAATTGCTTTTCTATCCGTGATTTCATTTGGTTCTAGGCATAAAGATTTTAACCATGCTGTTTTTCCGTTAAATTAATCCCTTAGTTATGGGTGGGAGGGAATGAGCTGTTAAACCACCGATTTTGTTTGGTTTTGGGTTTTTTTCCCTTTTTTTGGTTTTTTTTTTGTTTTTTTTTTTTTAAAGACGGAGTCTTGCATGTAGTTCAGGCCTGCCTCCAACTCATGGTGAGGCTCCTGCTACAGCCTCCCCAGTGCTGGAATTACAGGTATAGGCCACAATTTTGCTTAGGCCCCAAACTGAGTTACCTGAAAGTCCTTAGTAAAAAATAATTGTACATTGCTAGGAGTGGAGTATTGCCTTGAGTTTGAGCCCAGCCCCTAGCTACATAGTTCAAGGCCAGTCTGAAAAAAAATAATTAAATTTTAAAAATTGTACATAAAGGGGATTTTCAAGGTTCTAGTTAGGTGTTAACGTCTCTTGGTTTAATGTCAACAATTTAGTGGGAGTCAGCATGTTTGTGGAAACCAAATACTTGGATTTTTGTGGTTCTCTGCTTGTATTCAATCTTCCTTGAACTTAGGGTGACTAGAGTTCTCCATGGTGGACAGCTTTTGAATGGAACAGCAGCAGGGGAACCTGGTAGTTCTATGTTGAGGGGTTTCAGACCAGAAAGGATCTTGAGAGGTTGGCTTTTTTTCTTTTAAAAAAATTGATATAATTTCTCCCACAGTTCAGTACTTTTCTATATCAGCAGATTGTGCAACAGTCACTATCAGAGCCAGGCATGGTGGCACACACCTGTGATCCCAGCACTCCTGGGCTGAGGCAGGAGGATCACCATGAGTTCAAGGCTGCCCTGAACCACGTAATGAGACTGTCTCAAACAAACAAAATATCACTACTATCTTATCGCAGAACTTTTTCATCTCCCCACAAAGAAACTCAGTACCTGTTAGCAGTCACTTCCCATTCCCTCACCCTAGCCCCTGACACCCAGCTTTCTGTCTCTGTGGATTTACCTGTTTCAGTCCAACTACCATTGGGAATTGGAAATTGAACACAGAGAGCACTGAGCTACAGCCTCTGACCTTTTTACTTGTCTTGTCTGTCTTCATTTTGTTTTGGTACCAGGGATCGAACTTGGACCTTGCACTTACGAGGCAGGCGGCAGGACCACTGGGCTAAATCCCAGGCTCTTGTCTGTCTTCATTTTGGGGCAGGGTCCCGTGAACTTATGAGCCTTTTGCCCCAGCCTCCAGGGTAGCTGGGATTACTGGCCTGTGCCACGAGGCCTGGCTACTCCAGATATTTTATGTGGCTGTTTGTGTCTGGGTTATCATGTTTTCAAAGTTCTTTTGGGTTGTAGCATGTAATTCCTTTAAGAACTACTTTTGCAGATGAGAAAATTAGGCCTCCTTAATCTAAACATGCTTCAGTGTTTAATCACAGTTGAACTGTGTTTTGAATATTCCTAATGAGTTATCTGTTAATTCTGTTTTTGTATTTTTGGGGGGGGGAGGGTACCAGGGATCGAACCCGGGTCCTTGAGCTTGTGAGACAGGCGTTGGAACCACTGAGCTAAATCCCTGGCTCTGCCAATGAGTTATGTTTTATGTAGTGACCCCAGTGCTAATGAGGGTTTTTTTTCCCTTATAGATAATTTATGAACATTTCGATGTTGGCAGATTTAGGACACTGTGTTGTGTGTTTTCTCTAGGTGTTCATCCCTACTGTGTAGGAGTGGCTGTGTCTTGTGGAGCTCATTATAGACAAACCCTCACCTAAACCTTCGGGTTGAATCAGGGAGCTAATGATAAAAGCTAAGCATTTAAAACACATGGCCCTGGTACACACAAAAAAAATTTTTTTTAAAACATACGTGGCTTTCAAATCTTGATTTCATGTGGTAAGAAATTGTGACCTGTAAGGTAGTTGATATTTTAACTATTAAGACTGAATATAGAAATATATATATTTGTGCTAGATTGAGCAAAACATCC